TCCCCATTCCCCATTCCCCATTCCCCATTCCCGATTATTCCCCATTCCCAATTCCCGATTATTCCCCATTCCCCATTCCCCATCCCCATTCCCCATTCCCGATTATTCCCCATTCCCAATTCCCGATTATTCCCCATTCCCCGTTCCCGATTATTCCCCATCCCAAATCCCGTTCCCGTCTCCCCGCAGGGCCACCATTCCCCATTCCCATTCCCCATTCCCCATTCCCATTCCCCATTCCCATTCCCCATTCCCCATTCCCATTCCCCATTCCCATTCCCCATTCCCGATTATTCCCCATTCCCAATTCCCGATTATTCCCCATTCCCCATTCCCAATTCCCGATTATTCCCCATTCCCCATTCCCGATTATTCCCCATTCCCCATTCCCCATTCCCCCTTCCCCATTCCCCATTCCCCATTCCCCATTCCCATTCCCCATTCCCGATTATTCCCCATTCCCATCCCCATTCCCCATTCCCCATTCCCCATTATTCCCCATTCCCATTCCCGATTATTCCCCATCCCAAATCCCGCCTGTCTCCCCGCAGGGCCGCCCATCATCTCGAGCCGGCCGGTGCAGTTCGCGGCGCGCGGCGGCCGCGGTTCGGTCGAGTGTTTCATCGGCAGCACGCCGCCGCCCGACCGCATCGTGAGTCCCGCCCGGGCACCACCACGGGAACCCAAAGCTGACGGTTCCAATCCAAAATACAGACATTAAAAATTAAAAATTAAAAATTAAAAACTAAAAATTAAACATTAAAAATTAAATATTAAAAATTAAATATTAAAAATAAAAGTTAAAATTTTAAAAATTAAAAATTAAAAATTAAAAATTAAACATAATTAAAAATTAAACATTAAAAATTAAATATTAAAAATTAAATATTAAAAATAAAAGTTAAAAAATTAAAAATTAAAAATCAAAAATTAAACATAATTAAAAATTAAACATAATTAAAAATTAAACATTAAAAATTAAAAAGATAAAAATTAAAAATTAAAAATATAACAATATAAAAGTTAAAAATTAAAAATGGAAAAATTAAAAATAAAAATAAAAAATTAAAAATTAAAAATATAAAAATTTAAAATTAAAAATTCAAAATAATAAAATAAAAATAAAAATAAAAATAAAAATAAAAATATAAAAATTAAAAATATAAAATATAGAAATAAAAATTTAAAATTTAAAATTTAAAAATATAAAATTATAAAAATTAAAAATTAAAAATATAAAAATTAAAAATTAAAAATTAAAAATATAAAAACTAAAAATTAAAAATTAAAAATAATAAAATACAAATAAAAATAAAAATAAAAATAAAAATAAAAATAAAAATATAAAAATTAAAAATATAAAATATAAAAATAAAAATTTAAAATTTAAAAATTAAAAATATAAAATTATAAAAATTAAAAATTAAAAATTAAAAATATAAAAAATAAAAATAAAAATAAAAGTTTAAAAATTAAAAAATTAAAAATATAAAAATTAAAAATTAAAAATTAAAAATTAAAAATTAAAATATAAATAATATACAATATAGAATACATAATATAGAATACATAATATATAACGTATAAAAAATATAATAAATAAATAATAAAGATAAAAGTAAAAGAAATAAATAATAAAAATCATATTTAATAAAAATAATATAAAATAAAATAAGAAAGACATAATAAAAATAATATTCAATGACATAAATATCTAATAATAATAGTACAAAAATTAAATAAAATAAATATTGACTACAAACATTATTAACTGAAATGATAAATAAACAATCACACTAATAGAAAACAAAACACCAATAATCACTGTAGCAGCACCAAATTAATCCCCAAGAGCCAATCAAAGGCCAGGGCCCGGAATCGTTAATGACCCGCCCAGGCCCCGCCCCTGACGCGGCCCCGCCCCGCAGGCCTGGGCGTGGCAGGAGAACGTTCTGGAAGCCGGCACGCTGGAGCGCTACACGGTGGAGAGGAGCAGCACGGGCAGCGGCGTCCTGTCCACGCTGACCATCAACAACGTGGTGGACGCCGACTTCCAGACGCGCTACAACTGCACGGCCTGGAACAGCTTCGGGCCCGGCACGGCCATCATCCAGCTCGAGGAGAAAGGTGACACCAAAAGGGACCTTGGGGACAGCTTGGGGACAGCTTGGGTTGGGATGGGACAGCTTTG